CTGTAGTTTAAGGCTCCACTTACATTTCTATAACAATTCCTACCAGAAGTGATCTGAATTCTTGCCCTATTCAGTATTCTCTGTGGTAAATACATGGTATAACACAGTGCAGCTGTACTGTGCTCTTAGGAGCAACTCTTTGGGGAGGTATTAACACCCAGGATTTTAGCGTTATCTTTTTCTTCTAAGAAGTGACAATTTGAGAATCTCATTTTGAGTTGGAAGTCATTCAGTTTACACAACTTAAGCAGCTAAGCAGCATTCTCTGATATGTTCAGCTTCATGGTACTCTCTTCTATTCAGCAGTATCATTTCCATCCTTCAGCAACTGAGATGTTTTATTCTTAAATGGGAGTTTGGCTGGTAAATGCAGTTTGGCAAGGCACGTGCTTTACCAATTATTTGGCTCAGAACTGACCTGAGGAAAAAGTGTGGGGGCCCCCATGGGTTTTCATAAACAACATTACTACTCTCTTTCACCACATCAGCCAGAATAGACTCTGTGTATTAAAAGATGTGCTCAGACCACTACCCATTATTTTCAGCAGCTATACTTAAAACATTTCCCAGGAGTACAGAAATTGAAGGCTGGCATCTTGAATTCACCTGTGTAAATAGATAGTCTTTGAGCCAGCAATCAAAGTGAGGTTGAGTCATTAGGCCATTGCAGTAGGAAAGCTATATATATGGGGTTTTGTGGCGTTTGGTTTGTTTTTTTTTTTAAAGCAGTAGTATCTAATTTGTGGTCCTTAATAGTTTATTGTAGTAAACGTAGTTTCAGTTCCAGTACATGCTGAAATGTTTCAGAAATCTCCAGTCTGACTCGTGAACATGTATTTTCCCATTGCAAAGAAGTATACACCACTGCCTCTAATTGCTTTCTGTACAGCTACAGCCCAGAAGCAGGTTGTTATGAGCAGCACTGGGTGCCCGCTGCCCTTTGCTGCTGCTGGGGCAAAGAACTAGGTCACCAGCAGTCTGCTGTGGCACAAGGGAAGGATGCTATGCTGAGTGGCCCAGTCCTGGGACCACCCAACAAAGCTTGGCTCCTCTCTTTCAACCAGCAGTCAAAAAACTACCAGAATTAAAAAAGAAACTCAGGATTGGTAACTGGCTGCCCATTCTTTTGTCTTACATTTTAAAGCAGTGAGGCCTGTTCTCTCTTTTGCCAGCAGGAGTGGTTTAGTCATTATCTGCTTCAGAGCATTTCTACTCTTATGATATTTTATGTTAAATGATTCTGGGAGGCAGAGTAAAGGAAGTGACTGTGCAAAATCCATTGATGGTTTCTTGGTATAGAGAATGTGAATGATTTCTTCTGTCTTTGCACCCTGCCTGCTTGAGCAGTGCAGAGGAAAAGGACCTGGCCCCTGCCTCCAACCATTGTTTCTTTTGACATACTTAGTTTTCAGGTTGAGGGGACAGAACACCTATATCCTAATGGATGTGAGGCTCAACCTGGGAAGGAGTTTATCCAAATGGGGAAAACAATTTTTTGAAACAATATTCAGCTCTAACCAGAGACTTGTAATAGGTTGTCATCAAAAGCTGGAATATGCTGTGTTTTAAGTCACTTTCCAGTTTAAAAGTAGAGTTTGAGTTTAGCATTTTGGGAGGTGCTTTTCTTAAAGAAAAAAATCCTATCTCGCTTCTCTTACTCAACTATTAGACGTTCTGCCCAGTTGTGTCCATCTTGGCATTATCACCATTTTAAAATGGAACGTTGCTGGGGCTGCTCATCTCTCCGGCATGAGGATCTGCCTCAAACCTTCGTTGCATCCCAGCAGCAAAACGTGCTGCTGCTGGAGCAGGAGGAGCAACTTTGCTTGCAGAACATGCTCTTGCTCTGCATTCACAGCGACCTTCAGGGTCACTGAGTGCATGGTTGCCTCCTTGGAAGACTTTATTTCACAGTGACCTTTGTGCCAGGTGACACATCTAGGTAGCTAGGTGACAGGATACTTTTAGTTCAAAAGTATAATTAACTCTGGATGACAAGAGAGACAGAAGGAGTATCATCTGTGGCTTTGGGGGGTGGGATTTAAAGATGAATGCTTAAATGCATAGGCAATGTGACCAGCTTCCAGTGTTAGCATCCACGCTATTGAGCTCTTAGCTGTCTCAGAAGCAGATTGGAGAGGACTCTGGATCCTGAAACCCTTAAGTCCAGGGACAAAGGTGCTGCTGAGACTTCTCAAGCTGAGGAGAACTTTACCTTAATTACTGGAAATTTGGAATGCAAATTACTAATGATCATGAAGACTTAATTTAATTGAAGACTTGTTACAGGCTCTGTATCTGGAACAAGGGCTCCAAAACCTGTTTATGGAAGGACATAACATCCCTTTAACAGGTGGGATGTAGGGCTTTTAGAGGTTTAAAAACCTCCCTTGTAACAAAATACATTATCGTTCAATAGATAAACAACTGAAGTCTCTTTAGGAAACCCTAGTCAAGAATATTTCTGAATTATTTATATTTTAATTACATTGTTCTGTTTGAGAAGTGTACATTCTTGGCATAATTGTAGCATACTTCAGGTGCTATTGGAATATGGAATAAAGGTTTTCTTTTGGTTTGGGGGTTGTTTGTGGGGGTTGGGTTTTGGTTTGGTTGGTGTTTGTGGTTTGGTTTTTGGGGGGGGGGGGGGGGGCATTTTCCAC